TAAAAAAAGTAGTAAAAAATCAAATAAATAGGTTTTATGAGAAGCATGTGGGAAAAGTATTGTGTATAAAATAAATAAAATCTTGCAAAAAATATTTTTAAAATGGATTTTATGAGACGCCTAAAGGGAAAATATGTTGTATATAATATAAAAATAGCTTTAAAAAATAAACAAATAAAATAAGCTTTATGAGAAGCATGTGGGGAAAATATGGCGCATATAATGAATAGAAAAAAGCACAAAAAAATGTAACAATAGGCTTTATCAGAAGAACATGGGGGAAATAATGTGAATATAGTTTAATTTTTTTAAATTTATTTTTATACCCTAGGTGGGCGAGTCATATATGATGACTGTTTTGACGTTTAAAAAATATAAATATGTCCTCTTATATCCTCCAGGGTTGAAATTTTAAATTTCCAAGTATTTCAATGAGCGCCCTTTTAAGCGTTAAAGGTCATAATTCTCTCTTTTTTTGTTTCCTTTTGTTTCTCATCAGCGCAGAAAACCTAGCTCCCCTCTGGAGTCAACAAGCGGTCGCCACGTTTTCTGGCGATTTATAAAAAGGGTCCTAGAAATGGGGTCCCAGAGCTGCAGCTGACACATGCTGCTCACTTGGAGCTAATCAAAGCACTAAACGAACGATCTTCACGTCGTTGCCACTCGGTGCCGTCAGCCACCTTCTGCTTCGACTAATTTTATCACAAAAGATGCAACTTTTGCCTGCTTAGCGTGTTTTCTTTGATTCGAGCTGTTATTTTTCTTTTTCTTTCAGCTGATTGTTGTTTTCTGCGTCTGCCTGCCTTTTTATCCGCACTCTCAGATGTCTCTGGATGTAATTTATAGTTTCGGAATCATCAGATGTGCTTGCAGCGAACACGCAAGTCGCTCCATCAATTAATAGCTGAGATAAAAATTCCAAAGAACAAACAGAGCATCACATATCGATACCTGAACGCTGACTTCCATTGCATCCACTTTTTAATGACAAATTCTGCAGATACGTTGCTTCAGCTGCTCTCTGAGATTGTCACTCAAGGAAAGAGAAAAAGCACAAGCTGCGACACCTTCCCATAAGTTGAGAAAAGTCCAATCTGGGTTTTCATGAAGCTAATGAGCCGTGAAATTGGCTCCACTGTGCGGGAACTTTAACATCCACCAATCAACCAAAGAGGGAACCCCCCTCTGGCCAATTGCAATATCTGGGCTTATTAGGTACAGTACCACGCAGGGCAGCTGTTTTACATTTATGATGTGGCTCACTGGAAGCCTCCCATAACGTCCGACGCGGCTATTTGCGGGTGATTTTTTGTGCTGATATAGAGGCGCCTTTTTAAATTGACAATTCGCTTCGAAGAAATTGACTGTTTGTGTAATAAAAACGTCCGGTAATGTGGAAAAGTTTTGCCGAGGTCTTTAAATAAGGAACTAATTCAGATACGAGGACGGGATTAAGTCGACGGCTGATTCATTTGTAAGGTTTCGTTACACGTCAGCAAAACAGAAGTGTTTGAGCCAGCTGTAGCGTCTTTGTTTACTTTCTGCTTCTGCTAATTCACATGCTGTTGACTGTAAGAGTGGACGCAAGAGTCCTCGTGCACCCCCAGCATCTGAGGAACTAAACACCCAGTGGATTGCTTTTATTATTTTTTATGTAGCCGTTATTTAACCAGGTCGAGATACAACGGTGTCTTTTCCAAGGGAAGCCTTGCCAGGACAACAAAAGTAAAATACATGCTAGATATAAGCAACAAGATGAAGAATTTACATTGAAATAACAACAAGTGCGATATGTAAGTGATCTGGTTTTTAAAATATCCAAGGGTGATGAGAGCCTCTAGACTCAACTTGTTCTTAAAGCAGTGCTTCCCGAATTCAAAACGAACCTTTGGCACATTTAATAATACAAATCATTGGAACATAAACAGCAATTGCTGCGAGTTTTAGAAATTAAATCACATAGATAGTGGGTGAGTAGACCTAGGACGTAAATAAAAGTATACCAGCGGCGTGTCACCAAAGAGGACCACTCAAGTTGAGCACCGTGATACGCAGAATCCAGACTTCGCAGATGATTCTTAGGGCATTCGTGTATAAAAGGTCGCCGTAGTCAAACACAGGGACAAAGGTGGCAGCAACCAACTTTTTCCTGGCAGCAAACGAAAAACAAGACCTGTAACGATAACAGAATCCCAACTCTAACCTTACTACCAGGTTTTCTATGTGAGATTTGAAAGAAAGCCGATCATCAATTCAGATGTCGAGACACTTGTAGCAGGTCACGAGTTCGCACGCTTGTAGTGTTAAAATACTGGGAGGGGACTCGAGTGCTATCCTGCCATTGGAGAATATTATCAATTTGGCAGCATTTAAAACAAGTTTTAGCTCAATGGGTTGATGTTCCACGAGATTAAATGCGAACTGTGACTTGCCAGCAAGGGTGGAGCCACGGTGGTAGATGACTACATCATCGGCGTAAAAGTGAACTTTGGCATTAGGAACATTTCTGCCCAACTGTTGATGCCAATGTACCCAAAACAACAACTAAGGGACATTCAAAGATGGTGGAACCTTAAAGACTGATCTGAAAGCCTTCAACCAAGACTGGGTGGGTTTTCTTGTTCCCCGTTGTGCTTCAGTGCAACTTGAACTCCATCTGTTTACTTCTCTCTTGCGCTCTTTAGGATTTCTTCTGCTTCGGTTGACAGAACTGGTGTGAAATAATGACTGAAACGCAGATATTTAATGCAACGTGTTAACCAGCAGTTACCTCAGAGCCATTTCCAAGCTGCTGTTCATGATACTGGTTGTATGAGTGCACCTTTGTCTGGAAAACCCACCACACCGATGAGTTAAAACAACAGTTAGGCTGGAAATATCCTTCCTGTTAAATTATCGCTCAGAAAGAAAATTTTAATGGACATAAAGTGCAGTAAAAGAAGGATGGTTTAGACCCTTAAAAGGCGCCAAAATGTGGAACCTCTGCTTGTGCAATCCAACTTTTTATCTCACACATTTAGCTTTCACATTTAAAGTCCCAGCCAGAGCACATGAAACCTTGAAAATGCAAATTATTGAGTTTTATAGCGAGGACAGAGCGGGGCTTTCAGCGGAAAGCATCAATGCATGGATGCTTTATGTTTCTGAGGCAAGGTGACGGACGCGTCTGGAATGATTAACGGGAGTTGAAATAGGAAGCAGCTCCAGAACAACGCCGTGAACTCAGGAGATGAGGAGCTGGAGTGAGTTAATGCTGACCTGCTGCTGGGTTTGAGACGGATCATCTGAAGCAACGATGAGCAGAATCAGGTTTCTGTCCTGACGGAGTCGTAAAGACGTGAATGAAGAAAATGTGACTGATGATGAGAATCCTGGTGAAAGCCGCAGTTCTTTATTGATTTCACTTATTAAATCTATATCAATTTCAAAAGCTGCAGTGTAAAAAGGAAGGGCTTTGTAGCTTTGATGTGCAAGAAGGGCGACAAGTCAATGTTTGTCCTCTTTCCACTTTTGTTGTTTGGTGCATAAAGGCGCGATTCTTGCTGAGATTTCAGGGCTTTACTCACAAAGTGACACAACAAAAGACGGAGAGCTGTTTATTCCACACGAGTCCTCGCATGGGTCATATTTACCATGAATGTGTCCTTGTTGGTTTGTCACGAGGCGGCTTTTGCTTTTTTTTTTTTTAGCGACTGCAGCACATAAATTTGACACTGTCGATAAATTATTTTTAAAATCGCTGCCTTGCCAGCATACAAATGCATCAAAGGAATAAAATTCTAGAGACCGAGTGCCCAAAAAAACCAAACAATGAGTCACCTGTAATGGCTCCAAAGGAAGATTTATGTTCCTTTTTTTATTTTAATAGCGACTCTCTAATTATGGGCCATTTCCAACGTCCAAATGCAGCATGAGTGTTTGCAAAATTAGAATATAAATGTGGGTCATTACAACAAAAGAAATTAGAAATTGCCACTATTTAACTCTCATTATGCCGCTGCACTGTGTTTTTTTCTTCTCCAACCCAGTCCCTGCATTAACTGCACTCGCATCAACCACACATCAGCCAAACGAAAGCGCTCATACATCATATTACTTTGAAACGCAGGCTGGTTAGATTTTCATCTTGTGGCCACATTAACATAAAGATAAAGCCGTGATGTCCTTCTGCTGAATTAGTCAAAACAAGCCCGGCAGAGGACGGAGATGAACAAAGCGGCGTCTGAGGCGACCAATCCAACGGCCCGCGCTTAACAACACGTGCGCTGTTTTTTTTTTTTTCTTCCTCTTCTCGAAATAAATCAAATCAAAAGCGAGCGGGAGACGAGGCACCTCTGAGGTGATGTTTTCGGGTCAGAAAAATGAGAGCACCGCACGGCGACGGAAAGAGCAACAACAGAAAAGCTTCCCATCTTGATTTGCTGTTATATGTTTTGGTTTAATTAGTTCATTAATATACCTCGAATAAGATCTTGTATCTTATTTACGGGCCTACATTGCTAAATGCATCGCCGGGATTTGCGAAATCTTACTCCGACTTTTAGTCCCCAGTACTGATCAGCCCTCCAAACCAAAGGGAGGAAACAATATGAGTAATTTTCCTTTTTATAACCCTTTGTGCAGCCCTGTAGTGGCTGTTATATTTAATATCCCTGCTGCCTTTTCTCTTCAATTAATTCGGCTTTATTAGTCTCGATGGAGGCAACTCATTCAGGCACCGAAAGGTCTGAGGAGGTGATTACTGGTGGGCTTTAAAGCAGGAAAGTACACATTTTGTAGAGAAAACCATTAAGCCCACACTCGCTTATGGTGCTCAGTTCTACTTTACCTGGCAATTGCCCTTCATAAAAACACATCACTTCCTGTTCGTGTTAATTGTATAGAAGTTGCTGTAATTACCCGGCTGTGAAATGTATACACACCGCAAACCTCACGTCAGATTCTGTGAACTTTCTGCTTTGTTTTTTTTTTCTCTTCTTCTCTTCCCCCTCCTGCTGCAGGAAGCTACCGCTGAAGGAAGAAAATGGAAAAGAGTCTCTCAAGCCGGACACGATTGAAATCAAAGTGCACAGTGACAACAGCCTCCACACAAAGCCCGACGACAGCAAAGCGTAAAAAGGGCCGGTCCCCCTCCATCGCCACCAAAAGAAACATTCGGATCACGAGACCAAAACCCAGACAAACTACAACACTGGAAGATAGTGGAGACGAATACCATATCTGTTTATAACGATGCCCCGGCGAACGGCATGTGTACATACAAATAATAGAGAGAAAAATAGACAGGAAGGGAGGGTCAACCTTTTCGACACCCTGAGTGGTTAATGTTCAAAACATGGCGTCAGTGGAAAGCTCCTGTTGATCAATGATTGTATATTATTGTTTCTGTCACTTTCTGTTGTCTCTGATTATGCAGGTTTTTGTTTTTTTTCGGTTCACCCCACATGCAGTTAAACGGCGTCTCGAGCCCCCAAACAATCACAAGTGGAGGGTTGCAACCGCTCACCCCGCTGGTGCTGCTTTTGTTTGTTCCCCTTCATCACAGCGAATGCATGGGCCGAACCCCGAGCGTTACACCAACCTTCTTTTTATTTTTTAAATGCCTTTCACAGCCAAGGTAGGTGTCTAGCTAATCAGAGGCGTTTCGAGCTAGTTCTGGCTTCAGCACCAAAAACAAAGGCAAACAACTTTTAAAAGAAAAAAAAACAAAACAAAACAAAACAGGCTTTATCTCTTCAGGAAAAAAAATAAATAAAAAAATTCAAGGGTGAAGAATTTGTTTTTGTGAATCATAATTTATGTTGCAGGGAGGGATAAAAAAAAAAAAGTCTCGAGGAAGAAAAAAAAAAAAGAATGTGTTGCAGTCTATACAGTGTAATACCATACATGTGCATTGATGTCATTGTTAGCGAAGCCTTTTATATTATTGACACTCGTTATCATCGTCTAACGACGTGTGTGTGGGGGGGAAAGGATGTTTTATTCATTACTTTCCAGTCTGCGTACAATATACAGCAAACCGCAGCCAGAGGTTAAGTGCACTGGAAGCCAATTTATGCTCTTGTGTACAATGAGTAATGAAAAAAAGCGATGATTATGTGCTGAAAGGCGTTCCCACAAATGCCCTGAATGGTGATCTTTGCTTGGTGTGAACGCGGGGAGTGGAAACCACTCAAGGCATGGGAACAAAGGAGTAGAGGTACGCTCAAGAGAAACAAATCAACACGTGTGTTCATGTCTGTTTGGTTTTTTTAAACACTGTTCTTCATTCTGATCTCAGATCTGCCTCAGATGCATTTTTTTTTTTTTTTTTTTTTCTATTGCGTTTCCTGGTCTGATCGCTCCTCTCTCTGATGTTGTCATGTGTTGTACATAGGTGAAAAAAAGAGTATTTTACAAAGCTTTTATGTAAATATACCCTAAAGGATGTGTCTTTTTTCGAAAATGCAAAAAGCTTGGCTTTTTTTCTTCCTTTATTTTTCTTGTGTGAACTCTCCTCAGATGAATTTTTTTCTTTTCTTTTTTTTTTCTTTCTTCTCCTTCCGTTGTGTTTTGGTCCAAAGTTCAGTGATGGTGTAATATTGCTTTTCCCAGTCATTTGCTTTCCCTTAAGAAAACCCATGCCCAAAGGCTATTTCACGGCATTTCAATGGAGGCAGTAATTACGGCATTAATGTGCCTTCTCTCTCTCTTTCTCTGTTTTTTTTTTTTTTTCCTTCTTTCCCCTCTCGTGGCTCGACGCAGCCGCAGCAGTGTCGACCGTCAAATGGATTTTTGATCGCTGCTTCTGGTTTTTTGTTTTTTTTTTTCCCCGCCACAGAATGTGTCAAGAATTTTATCGTGGTGCTGTGAATTCTGGGAAACGTAGTCTTAGGATGGTGGGTTGTAGTCGACGCCACTGGACAGAAACAGATGTGTATTGCTACCTAGATGTCAGGCTGAGTAGAGAGCGGCGTGACGGGCTGCAGAAATCGGGTTTTAATGGCATGTAATGCATCATCACCAGTGTGTGTGTGAGCGTGTGTGTGTGTGTGTGCATACATGCATGGGTGGGTGAATACACTTGTCTACATGAATCAGGTTGCATGTATGTCTGTTGAATGTATCTGCACGTACTGTAAGTCGATCTGAGCGTGTGCGCCCATTTATTATTTTTCAGTCTCCCGCTTACAAATCATATAAATTAAAAAGAACTCGACACGTTGCCCTCCTGGGATTTATTTTGTTATAATTTATTTGTATTTATATTGAATCTCCATGACGGCTCTCGCAAATAAGTGATGATGACCACATGCCAAGTATGAATGTCCAAGTGCTGCGAGTGCACAAGTGTTTCTCTGAGAGCGGCGCGACTCGGCGGGAGCTCTCACGCCGAGTTTTCCGGGGGTAGCGCTCCGATAGGTAAAACCTGATTATGTACTTCTCGACAGTGATTAATTCCCCCAGGCTGCAGCGCTCCCACCCGCCCGCCTGCCCGCCACCGTTCCCTGCCTCTCAGACTCCACTGGTTTTTATCTCAGACCTCGTAGCGGCTGGCTTTGTTTCCTCACAGCAAGGCTCCCTTGTACCTGCATATCTCAAATGGATGGTCCTGCCATGGAGTTGGTGCCGCTGCCTGTTACGATCACTGTAAATACGGGAGCACAGTGCCTGGAGGCTATACGATTTGTACATGTTCTTTTGTATTTGAATATGAGTCTAAACCCTCCCCCCCCTTCCCCCTCTTCCTCTCCCATCCACTCTCGTCTCCCGCCGTTTCCTCCACCGTGCCTCGGTCCCTTTTCTTTCCGTCGGGGGGTATAACAGGTGTGTTTGAGCTCAGTGTACAGTATATGTCCTCTTTGTCCCCATGCGCCCCGTGTCCCCCCTGGACTGTCCCCCCGCTGAGTGTGCTTTGTGCAGGAGGTGGGAACTATTGATGTCTCTCTGTACGTACCTGTGGAACACTTGTGACTCCTATCATTTGCCGCTGTAAATAAACATGTCCTGGTAGAAGAGAGTGAGGCGTTGTCATTCCTGATTTCGTCCTTGTGTCTTCGCTGGCTGGTGTGTACTGAAAGTTTAGTAATGTAAAAGATGGATGTGAAAAGTGGTTTTGACATTAACCTGCATTCTTTCTTACATCCAGCAGGGGGCGACTCCTCTGGTTGTAAAGAAGATGGTCCATAAGGAAATGGCAATACTTCTTACTTAATTTGTTGCCTCGGTAAACATCTTCCAAGCGAGTTTATGGTCTCAATTGGTAGTTTTACACCTCCTTCAATACAGCATGATGTTGATTTTGTAAATTATGGTCCCATTTAGATGAAAATAGACAACAAAGGAAGTGATGTTTTACCTTGATTGTCCTCAAGTTCTCAGCCAAATCCAGCCATTACTTGTTAAATTCAAAGGACCAAGATGGTGAACTCAGGCTTTCAAAATGTGTCCACAAGCCACTTCTCTAAACCCGTCTTTTATTTACAATCTATGATTTTTCTGAAGAAAGAACTAATGAGCTCATATTGTGCACATTTACAGGTTTATGAATGTATTTACTTATATGTCAACTAGATGCTGGATGCTGTTGCACAAACCAACTTTTGTGCAAAAAATGCTGATATTGAGAGATGGTCTTCGTATATATATATATATACATATTAAAGACACCGCTTCACTCCGCACCACCGTCTGCTCAGCTGTGATGAATACTCTGCTACATGTGTTGCAGGTAGTGCTGAGAGTTAACTATGGAGTCGGAGATGCTGAATAAATGACCTCGATTATCCTTTTCTTTAAAAAAAAGTATATGTGGAAACCAACACGTCTGTAAGGGCCAACATTAGCCAGTTAATGTGTTTTAATTTCAACCCCCTAGAATGCTCACTGTAGGGCAGCATGGGAGCATTTTAAATGGAAATGCATCAGATGGAGAATCACCACAGACACTTGTGCATCACATATCCAATGAAAACTTTAATATGAGTAGAAATTATGCTTTGCAACTTCTTAGCACAAAACAAAAGCAGCAGCGACCATCTGACTGACCACATGTTGATTTTTAACTATCCACATGATTTTATGTTTATGTTTGTAAGCAATTTCAATGAGGGGAAAACAATTTATGCCATTTATGGATATTACATATTGACAATATGCAAGTATTTTTGGAGACCACTAGAAGATATGTACAATGTTTAAAACACATTCTTGTGGTTTGCTGCTCATCCTTTGTCTGAAATTGTTGTTTTAGCTCCTTCCAGAAAAGCCCGCTCTGATTGGTCAGCTGGCCTGACGACAGCGAGGTAATGATGCACCGGAACCATGGCGACTTGAGTGAAATAATGGCGGCATCTGCTCGTAGTTTGTTTTCAGGGTGATGCAAGTGCGTTACATGGTGACATCGATAAGTGACGGAAGACGAGGCTGGACTCGGAACAGGGTGTTTCAGGTCAGTAAGGAGCTGTGTTGTGTGTGAAATGATCTTTTATTTATATTTAAGTCTTCAGTCGTCATTTGGTTCGTTGTTTTGGCATCATCAAAGTTACCATATGCTTCAATTTCTCCGTCTAGATTAAGATACAACTGGAATATACAGGAAAAATAATCAGGACAAACACCTTCTACAGACTAAAGAGGTAAATGTTTACTGTCTTGGATTCTTTGGGGAGGACAACATGTCTGGGGTAATCTTCTGGTCTACTCCATCAGCTTGCATCAACACGTTAAAACTATCCTAATGATGTTTGCAGCTTCTTTTTTGTGTGTCCCATCACATTTTTTTGGTGGTGAGCATTACATATTTAACTAATTGGAAGCTCATTATTGTATAAGTCCAAGTCTCTATCACTGCTTTCAAAATACCAGAGATTCCACAAGTTGGCATCGCTGGATGGCATTCAAGCCGTTATGAAGAAATCTGAAGAATCCGGAGACTTGAAAGACTTAAAAAATAAAAAAAATAAAAAAAATTTAAAAAGGAGTTGAAGGCCAAGGAAACTGTCAACTGTCAAAGTTTCTCCTTTGAGAGACTGAGAGAAGTCTAGCGAAGAATGTCATGTGGATACCTGGTTGACTTTTCGGAGGAGTTTGATCAGGCCTCTGTGGAAGGGTAGCAGACGAGGAAACACTTTTTTTTTCAGAGAGGGAAGACATTTTTCCAGCAATGAGTCAAAGTTTGAAATGTTCAGGTCCTATTATCGAGAAGAACAGTTGGAGCAAAGTACAAGAAGTGTGAAACACTTTGAGAGCTCTGCCAGTGGTATCGGAGATAATGTCCCAATTGATGGAATG